GAAGGAAAAGTAGAGCAAGTGTCGCAAGTGTGAATAAATTGCAATTAGATATGTTTGAGTGCTTACATCTTTTGAAATTTTTACTTTGAAATATTTACAGTTTATGCAGCCACAAGTCCTTGCAAGTCAAATAATTTCTTTGACGTCCCATACTTGTAATCCTCATTACTGTGCGTAAGCATACATTTGAGGCGACATAAAACAGGTCTTTTTTATGCGTAATTCAAAAGCAAACGAAACGAAATTTTATTATTTGAACTTCTTTTTTTTAAGTTACGATAAAAGGTTTGAGTTCTTTTGTACAACATTTAATTGAATGAGTAATTAAAGAGAACTACCGAACCTATTCAGATTCTGCTTTTGTTTAGTGAGAAGTTATTTAATTATGATTTTTCTTTGTTGAACATGAGAAGAATTTTACATTCCTTTTTTTTTGATAAATGTTTTTCTTTATTATATAATTATTTTATTTTTATTTCTATTTCACTTTAAGAGATAGTCTTCAATTTTATTGATCATCATTAACAATCGAATATCATTTAAATTGTAATTGTAATAAATTATCGCATAGTTAACTGACATAACACAAAGTATCAATAAACAATGCTTTCTAAAAAGAATATTAATGTCTACCAGCGACTGAGTGGAGCTCGTTTAGTGGAAAACAAATTAATGAAAAACTTTAATAAAACTGAAGGAAAGAAATAATATGATAAATGGATAAATGGTAAAAAATATAGTGCTTAAAAAATAAAAGTAAGAAATAATTAAGAAACGTGCTTTCATAATCCAAATGTGGGATCAAATATTATAATATGTTTTTAGTTTACAGGTTAACATATAGATTCACAATATATTTCTACAAATTTCTAATGACAAATTAATAACGACACTTGTCTTAAAATTGACTTGACTTGTTCTTAGTTTACAGGTTAACATAAAGATTCAAAATGTATTTATACAAAATTCGAATGACAATTTAATAAGGACACTTGTCTTAAAATTGATTGATTATTGAAAAGAGACTTTAACCTTATAAAGCTCAAATTAGGTTTTCTGTTCAACAGTCCTAAAATTCAAATTAAGGACTTAAGCCAATTTTGTACGATTTTCTAATAAATCAATTAGGAAGACTACAAATATTTGATAGTACAATTCAAATTACTAGTTCTACTTGTATTGGAAAAAAAAGATTATCATACATTGAACGGGAAAAAGTGTCTTCGTGACCATTATTTGGTGGATCTGGAATTTATCACACAAGAACTATGAACTTACTAGCTGAAGTTGTTTGAATTCTATTTGTTTAAATATTTTATTACTTGCATTTAAAAATCACATTTGAGATGTAAATGAGTTTGCATTCGGATTCTTAGAATGTCTGTTCGCTTCTAGAGTAGATAGATATTTTTTCCATTAAACATGATTGGGAGTTAAGATAGTGCGTAACTTTTCTACTTTTGAAAAATAATTGCCAACATTTAAAATTGATTGATCTATTAACTTATAATTGTAACATTTAAAAGTTTTGGTCGCCCTACTTATCATCATTTATCTACAAATTACTGCAATTTTTTATGTTCATTTTTTATTTGACTAGAAAAAATGTTCAGAGTTGTGTTGCTTGCCGGCCTGCAATTGCAATTATATTTACTCTGCTAATAATTGCTGCAACAACACACTTTCAGCCTTTTGTTCTAGTTAAGCAGTTGATGCTTTGTTTGCAACATCAACTCAAAGTATCAGCAACAACAACACTCACTTACGCAGTCAGTCAGTCAGTCAGTTTGTCAGTTAGTCGCGCAGACTTCTAATCAAAACTGTTTGCTTTCGTTTTGGCATCGTAGCCTAAATTAGTTTTGCACTCAGCTCGAGTTGCAATTGTTGTTATTATTATTATTGTTGCTGTTGCCGTTACTGTTACTTTTGCTGCTACTGCTGCTGATGAGCCTGCAACACGTCAGTTCATGTAGTTTGCAGTTGTTGTTTTTGTTTTTGTTGTTGCCGTCTCAGTTGCCTAGAACAAGTTTAAATTGAATATAATTGCTACTGTTGCTGGCGCTCTCACCTCTTGTCTCAAATTGCACGAAATTACTTCATCATGTGCACTTTTGTATTCCATTTCTTATGTTGTTGCTGGCAATTAGCGTCTTCTCCATTGCTCGCAGCACTAATTCCATACAGCGAGCCTATCATTTTTCAAAACATCATCAAGCCTCCCGGAGTCGGACTTTGACTCTAGCTTTGACTGGGATTGGCATTGGGACTCGATGAGTGCAACGGATGCAGTCATTTAGTTGATCGAATGACTAACTGACTGACTGTCTAAAAGGCTCTCTGCCTGAGTGTCAAACGCAAGTCATTTCGTACAGCAAAAATTTCACTCACGCCTTTTTACGGCAACGCCAGCAAAAAGTTAACAAAGTGAAATGCGCGTAAAAAAAAACTAAAAAAAAGACAGCTACACGACTATGGGATATCCTGTACACAACTGGCGAATATATTTCTCTAATATTCAATCATTTGGGAACACCACACATTTTCATTCATAAAAATCAAGCAATTTTGTTCAATGAAAGGAGTAATTATCAATACAACAATCAACTCTTAATAGACATGTATGTGATGTTTCAGCGTCTGATTAATGGGGGTTTCCACAAATTGCATATAGCAGACCAATCGCCCCCCGTGGTTCAAGCGGCTTTGTGAGAAAAACTGTTTTGTTTATATATATATAGTATATATATCGACACTAGACTTGATATGATATGATTTAAGTATAAGTGCCTTTCTGTCTACAAATTTACGGTCGAAGCATTAGATTTGAATTCGATAAGTTCAGTTATCAAAAAAATATATATTAAATACGACCTAGGACATTATATTTCTGCCTGAAAAGACTTGTTGCCTTGAATATTAATAATTATATTAATATAGATATATGCGAAGTACAATTTGCAAAACAGAAGTTAAGAACCCAAAACATCATGAGATTCCTGACCTAAACTGTTTTACCACACGCATTGATAATTTTTGTATAATTTAACAATTTATTGATTTTGCGATCCTTATGTTTTCTTCTGTTTAATCAAAGCATTGAAGCCGTGCATTCAGATTAGCAAATTTATTGATGAGCTATATGTAAGATACAGGATCTGCATTAATCATCTATTTATTTAATTCAATTTATTTCCTGGTCGATTAAAGGCGCATTTGTTGTGGAAATGCTTTTAAAATTGAAGTAATAAAATATTTGTGAAATAATGAATAATTTTTTTTTTTTTAATTTTCTCTAATTGAACATTATTTTTAGAAGCATTTATATTTTCATATTTATTCGGTGTATTCAACATCTGTTTTATTTTATTCCATATACAACAATCTGCTGCAAAAATTATTATCATAATAAAATGTGTTTGTTAAACTCACGCGACTAATTTACTAAACTATACATATATATTAATGATATAGTGGACGAATTTAAATACCACATTTTTAATTATTTGTATCAAGGCGTTTTTTATGTATCTAAAGAACTAAAAAACTTGTTTCAGGAAGAGAAATTTATGTACTGATCGCATTTGTAAAATATACACGTATGATCTGTCACTGCCAATCTTTTATTCTATTTTAAAATATTGGATTTGCAACAAACATACAAAAGATACAAATTGAAAGTTTGGTGTCATATAGCACACCTGTTTTCAAACAAAACTACGTTTCTGCCTGTATATCAACTGATTTGCTGATCATTAACAAATATATACACATACATGTTTCACTCTGCCCGTGGCATTACATTTCAAAGAATCAGTATACCCAGGTATATAAGGAAATAATATTGTGGCAGCAACGCAATGAAATCCGCACTAACAAACGCCTAGACAGAAAAACACCGATGTCGGCCACTTCTTCTCCCTGGTCGTCATCATCGTCTCCGAAGCAAATCAAAGCGCAGCATGTCCACAAACGGTCACGGAGGCAAAAGTCAGGTAGGAAATTGCCATCAAGATGCCAGTGTCGAAGACACACGCAAAACTACAAGCAAGATTGATGCGAAAATGACGACGACGACGGCGACGGCGACGAAGACGACGACGATGTGGCCAAGTCAATGGCAATAGCTATTTCTGTTGGCAGCAGCGCCTACATATGGAAGCCCGATTGCACTGTCCAGTCGTTCAGTCAACCATTCCACCAACTCACCATCCCAACATGCGATTGACTGTGTGTTCTCAGACATCAATATATACGAGACATTGTGATGCCTTTTAAGTGTGCGCGACCTGCCCATGTCATGGATGTATCTCTCTATGAGTATCTCTCTCTTCTTCTTTTTTTTGCGGCTGCTGCTTGCTGAGTTTTTACATTAACCAGCGCGACAAGTCTAAGCAAACACTCAACATTGGCCGCCGGCTGTTTCCAATTGTTGTTATTTTTTCCGCTGCTGACTGCAAAATTTATTGCAATTGCATCGCATTTTTCCTTATATGTCACGCAGGCATTTGCAATTTTAACGCTTTAAGAGACAACGCGAAAAAGGATTTTCAGCATGAAAATTTCACTGCTTTTAATGTGCGTCTGAAATTGAATGTGGAAATGGAAAATGTGCGCTGTCGGGCATTGTGAAAATGTTGCGGCTAATGTAAATTGTTGTGCATATTTTCCGGCTTAGTACGGCTAGCTTGTTAGGGGAGAACACCACAATTTCTTATTATCTGATAAGTACATTTATCAGAGCATACTTCTATCCCAAATGACGTTCCCTAGAAAAAAATAAATTGTTCACATGGATTATCTGAATTGTATTTGTAAGTTACTTGTTAATACTTTTATCGTATTTCATTTCCCGAGAAGTAGATTTCTATGAGTGTTCTCTTATTTTAACGCCAATAGTTTTTAACATTAAATTAAATTAAATTCTGAAGGGTTGACCAGCTAAGGTGCTGGATGAGTTTGTAGAGCTGTTCAGGCCTTTTATAAAACCATAGAGTAAATGATTATTTCATACCTCACAATCGGTGAGATTTTCGATTTTATTCGTTCGCTGTAGGAAAATTTTGCTTTTAATTCCCATCATTTTTTTTTTCTTTTTTTTTTGGCTTAATGGGCTTCTATATGCTTACATCAAGTTTTCTTAGAGAATAAGTGTAAATAGGTTTGGGGACACAAGCTGCGCAAATAAATGTGGATTTGTATATATGATCGAACTGTTAGGGATTTTCTTCATCATCTAGCCATATTGCAGCTCCAATTCATAATCAAATGTAGCCACCAAAGACGTTATTGCGCATTAATTATTTTCCGTAAATCGCACATCTATGATTGTTTCACCTCCAGTATTCAAGAAACAGTCGCATTTGTAAGGCTTTTCGCAAATCGCGTGCGCTTTTTGAGTGCAGGCCCAATCGTTCATACTAAACTCGTCATCGCGCAACCACAAATGAATGCAATGCTCAGTGCCTCCCTTATTGTCCGGCTGCTTGTCCGACCAGTTGAAGTATGGCAAGTGCTTACCAGTGGCAATTGATTTAAATTCTCGATTGTTGCCCAAATCGTTGCCGGCCACCCAAAACCAATCATTCTTGGTGTAGCCTTTGGCCATCAAATATTTCGATAGGGCTTCCATTTCCTCAGCACTCTCTATACTGGCCAGGTGTCCACCCATCGTTAAGCATTCATTTTGGGCATTGAACCAGTTGGTCTTTCGCGTTTCCTTCCTTATAAAGTAATACTTTTGTCCGATTTTGACAAACGAATCCATCTTACATCCAACTTAAAATTGGAAATCGTGACATTAGTCATTTGCATTGATGTTGTTTAAAATTAAACATACCGGACCTTGTTGTGGATTGTGAGAGCGTTACTTCAAAGCCCGTAAAAAGTAAAATAAGCGCTATTAGATTTCGCATATTGCCAATCCGAGCAGCAGCGTAACAATGAACAGACAGCTTCAAATGATCGTATTATAAGCTGCTCTCTCTCTTGGATTTACTATAGCAGTCTTACTGGAACTAATCTGCATCCCAAACTTGACAAACTTGTTTTCATGGTAGTATATAATCATTGATGACGTGAAAGACGCTGACAAGATTAGCTAAATTCACAAATGTTCCAAAATAAACGACGTATAGTCGTTGCTTATTGGTTGATCGAAGAGGGCGTTTACCTTAGAACTAATCTATTGTCAAATATATTTGTTTCCTGGACATCCAAAAATCTTATGTTGAATATTTACTAACTGTTCCCCAGCTTATGTTGTTTAGATGGCTGAATCTTGAATGGCAGAGATTGGGACAGTAGGTTCGAATTATCTTTTAAATTCCAAAATACTAACCTTTACTCTTGGAATGTTAAAATCATTGTGGATACTTTCGCTGCTAATATGCCAGGAAGCTTCATTAGGGCTTTATATTCATCATATGAGTCGTCTGTTTAGATTTACGACTATTTTGAACTAACATGAGGAAAGATCTCATTCTTAAAACAAAACTGTTTAAGGCACACTTTTAGTTAAGCGATTTTAACGACTTTCTTAATTTTTATATACTCCTCTGTACTGTCTTCTGGATTTCTCTTAATCATCATAATATTCCTTTCTCTGGCCTATCCCTCTATCACTCTATCAAATAATGATGTTTCTAAAATCTATTTTTAAACAGGATATATGTTAAAAAAAACATTTTTTATGTAATTAGTAAATATTTAAAGTAATCGAAGTCTTAAATACAGTTTATTTAAATACTATATACAAATACATGATATCATATATTATACATTATATTTTAAAGGTTATATTTATATTCTTGCCAGCAACAAACTTTCAAATGATATTATATATATTCAATAGTATTACCAATTGCTTTGCAATATAAGAGGATAACATAGGATTAAAGCCTGCCTATAGCTATATTACATAGAAAGATATCAAAATAGTATACACCGCTTATATCCATAAAGAATCCTTGCATTCACTATAGTGCAGTCGTTCATGCAATATTTAAAATTAAATAAAATTCTAAAATTAATTTGACTTATTGTTTACTTTGTTCTTTTATTTGCAGGTAAGCACAACTGTCATAAACAAAGCAACTACAAGCATTTCGACACGCTTGGGTAAGCAACTGGCCCCATCAACCCCTCAAAACGGCCCCAACCTAATTAGCACAAAGTTCATTAACCTTCGTGTAAGCGCCCTCTAGTCCCACTCCTTGAATTCATAATACACACCCTACATGTGGCATGCAGCCAATGAACCAACCAATAACCCAACCACCAGAAATTGAAACCAACCCTCCACAAAGGTAACCGCAAGCCCATTTCAAAGCGTCCCCATCGTTCGCCTTGCTCGAGCAAAAGACATTAGGAACCCATAAGTACGCACATTATTCAGTTAAAGGCAACACTTGGCTGTTCAAGGATAACGAAAAATACCGATTAAAATGTTCAATAAACGTGACTGTGTGTAACCAGAAAATGTTTGGCAAGCAATTTAATTGAAGGCAACAGCATACTTGTATGTTTGGTCGTTTGGCGGTGAAATTAACACCAAAATCGGAAACCTCGTGTACAACAAAAATGTTAACACACAAATTTGTTTGTTAAATTGTATAAAAAATTAGCAGACGCACAAACAGCGGCACGTAGCGGCGTGTGCCACAACGTTGATTGAATTATTAAAGCCGCTAATTAAACACTTCCGCTCATTCGGGCTCGTTTGGTTACTCATACGCCCCGTTTTCGACGTGCGCGCCTTTTATGCACGCAATTTTTTTTTTACATTAATTTATGTTCGTTTGTTCGTTCATTGTAAAGTTTTTTCTTCTTGCTCTTCAAGCGCCATTTAATGCTTGACTTTTTTTAAATTGCCGCTTTTATTGTTGTTGTAATTGCGTCTGTCGTTATTGTTGTTGCTGCTGTTTCTGTTGTTATTGCCGCTGATATCTAAATAATCGTCTTGTGCTAAATTAGACAGCACTTGTATTTTGGCAAGCGCGGCTCTCGCATTGTTTTCTTTGTTTTTGTTGTCGGGGCTGGCCGTCTTTAGGCCGTTTTCTTTCATTTTGTTTTGGCCAGTCTTTGCCATTGTTTGCTTAAGCACTTCAATTGATTTTTTGCTTGTTATTATTGCCTTTATTGTTGTCTGGGCGCATTTTTTATACGCCTTATCGCCTTGCGCCAGTCAATTGTTGATGTCGCCTTTGTTTAACATTACACTGTAATGTTGCCTTGTTGCAAGTTGCAGGAGCGATTAACGGTAACTTTGTTATTGCCATCGACTATTTACCCCCAAAAGCTTGTGCTTCAGCCTAATAGCGCGATGCTGAGTTTCTTTGGCAGCTCAAATAAGCAGTAATTTAATATGGTTCTATGTATCTAAAGAAAGAATCTCATACATATTTAGGTGATTTCAGAAAATGAGCCGATTATGATAGTTCTTTGTCTGCTGGTTGCTGACTGAGCCTTTTACGATATTGCCACTAAATGTGCGCAGCTAAAGCTTATTCAATTCCATTTATATTATTGCAAGTTTGAAAACCTTTAAATAGCGGCTTTCTTTAGTATCTGCATTTTCAATATATCATATTTTCGCTATCTTTTAATAAGGCTTTACAAGTTTTTACTATTATTTTATATCCAAATGACAAGTATGCTGTAAATGATAAAACATGTTTTGTGAATTCCAAATTAAAATACATACTATAAATCATCTGTCTCTATATTAATGCAATAATGGAAATTGTATGCAATAAGAATTGGGTTTTCTGATATACGTCAGATATGTACCGTTTCGATTTAAAGTGGTTTTATACCGGCTTGTGCTCAATTTATAGTCCATAAGCGATGCTTTGCTGATAAACTGCTGCTTCAATAATTTCTACGATTTTAATACAATTTTCGATGACGACTCTACCTGTATTAAATGCATTTTCCATATCGATATTTCAGCCGCTTTAGGATTTGTTGCATCTTGGCATCCAAGCCTAACAAATGTATCCCACAAATGAATCGGCTTTTGACATTATGAAAATAAATTTAAATGATAGAGAATAGAGGATAGAACCGTGTCTATGTCTTTTTTAATACAAGATGAGTATGTGTTTTGATTAAATACTTTGTTGAATCAATATTCAATTTTGTTTGAAACAAACCACATTTGTTAAATTACATTCTGTCGTTTGTTATGTGAAACTTCTATAAGTGAATCAAATGCCAAACAAAGGCTAAAGTTCACAAATACATTAATAATGCAGTTGATCTTGAGAGATTAGTAGACATTGCCCTTACTGTCAATGAAAGAGAATAATGGAGATGCTACCACAAACGCGACATAGAACAGACGAATTTTATTTACTCAGTCTAAATAGACTATAGTACATAGATACTAATTACACTGCACGTGAAGCACTAATTATTATTTATGTGTTTATAAAATGTGTTTGTAAAATGTGAACAAACTCCCTGATACACAACTCTGTCAACAATATGCTGGTGAAACGCGTAGGAGTAAACTTAAAAATATTAAGTGGAAATTATTTAACGAGAACAACACTTGCAGACACAATTAGAAGATTTTTTATCACACACATAAGAAGCACAAACCTTACTTTACTGAATTTTATAGCATTTTCTTCTGTGAATCATTTTAAATTATATGTTCTGAATTGATTTTTCTATATTTCAGCAATAAAAGAAACCCCATTGGAGATATTTGTGGCAAAGCTGTAAATGAGAATAGAAAATTTAGAAGTAGAAGAAATGCCATTAAACTCAAATTCTCATAAAAGCCAGCGATTGTGAGAGAACTTTTATCTAACAACTAATTTGGTTTTGAGTTCGGCAGCTATCAGGCATTTCATTTTGAGAATGAATTGTTTTGTTTTCCAGAAAGTTCATATAAAAATGCAAACATAAAAAGTCAATTACAAGCTACATCACCATATCGCATAACAATGCCGCGTCAAAGACGAATGCCAAGCGGTCCTTCATTTCTATTTCAATTTTCATTTTGAACAATGCAACCCAAATACGGGTATGTTTAAAGCATTTCTCTCGTGCGTGTCGCACCGCCCGCTGTTCCTCATTTGTTCTGCTGACACATTGTCCGTCAAACTGTCTCTCGCATAAACCCAGAATGCATGACACCAACGCATAAGGCGGAGCCTGTGCCCCAACCCGTGCCCCAAGTCATCGCTATGTCGGCAGCCCACATTGTTGCCGACCGAGTCATGATGAATGCGTTGTGTGGAAAAGTTTGTTGCAGCTGCGGCGGCGGCTGCGTTGCATTTACATAATGTAGAAGAATCAAAACTAGTGAAAATATATACATACATACATACACCATTTATATCTACATATACGCGTGTAAGATAACTGTGAATGTGGGTCAACTGGCCAGCAGCAGAAGCAGAAACTTTTACTTTTCTTTAAACAATTTCAAATGCTTCTCTATTACGTACCTAACAGTGGTTATAAAAACGATTCCACTGTGGGGTATTATTATGCATTATAGTATTGTGTCAGCTTGTCTGTTCGACTCGCGTGCAATGAACTATGCAGAGCTAATAAAAGTCGACACTCCACTCACACCAAGTCAATTGGCCGGGTCCCCCCTCTAACAGCGATGGTAGAAGAAAATGTGTGGAGCGCGAGTTGGGGGGAAAGTTATAAGCGCCCGAAATGAAAGAAGAACCTGAAAGGCAAACAAAGAACGCAACTATGTGGATGTGTAGTGATTTCTTATCGCACCATGCAAACATTTCTTTTATGGTCGCTTATGATTGTGACGCTCTGAAATGCATAAAATAATTTTTATGTATTTTCAAAGTGTGTCGCGCAAACGATTTTCAAAAGAGTATTTGTTGTTGCCGTTTTGTTGGGTGCGACCGGAAGCAACTTCTTACGCCTCGGCAATCA